TCCTTGAACTCCTTGAGGAGGGAGGAAAACTCGTTGGACGGCGAGAGGCAGGTGATAGTGTCAGCGACTGCGGCACGTGTACTCCGGATCGTGTGTGCTGTAGGCTTATGGATGAGGCAGAGGTTTCTTGGATCGACGACAAGCTTGTGGAAGGTGAGGAAGTCGAAGCCAAGGATGGGTTGAGAGACGTCTGCCACCTCGAAGGACCAACGCAGAGTCTTGGGAAGATCAAGGTTGCGATGGGGGTACCGTTGGCGGCGAACAGGTCATATGATGGTTCCTTCAGTGTGTTTGGCGGTGAGGGAAGGATGATGCTGACCGATGCCCCTGTGTCAACGAGGAATTTCCAGCCGGAAATGCGGTCGGTGATATGCAGCAGTGGGACACCTGAAGTGACGGAGGTTGTGGTGTCTACCAATCCCCGTCGATGCCGTTTCCAGAGTAGTTGCAGGGAGCCTCACAATGTCTAGTGTTAGCACCGAAGAGTTGATGGTACCAGCAGAGGGTAGGTGCACTGTGCTGGGAGCTGGCGGTGGTGTCCGAATAAGGACGAAGATGTAGCGGTTGGTAGGACACAGTGCGTGGGGCAGGGACAGGAGCAGCAGCAGGCATGGAGGAGCAGAGCTGCTTGAGGGTGTCCACCCTGCGGTGTAGAGAGTGTAGCAGGTCCCTCATGTCTTGTGAGGTGTTGCACGTCTGAGGAGCATTGATCCGGTTGACAAGATCGGAGGTAAGTGATGGTGTGGCCGCAGAGTTGTCTGCGGCAGCATGGCACACAGCAGTGTATTCATGGAATACTCTGTCTGCCGGGGCTGCGTAGGTCGCAGGGGTTGTAGAGTAGTCCAGCGTAGACAGGGCGAGGCGAACTTCTGCGGGGAGCTTCTGGGCGTGAAACTGGTGCAGGACAATGTCAGGAAGCCTGTTTGTGTGGCGGGAGTTCAGTCTACGCATCTCGTCCCAGAGACGTGCAGGCGTTGGGTTGCCGAGGAGTAGACTTGATAGGTCTTGCAGGAGACTGGCGCCAGGTAGCTGGTATCGCCTCTTCAGAGCATATTGTAGAGCTCCGAATTTGTTGTCAGCTGGAGGATAGGTGATGACATCTGAGACTTGCGTGGCGACTTCTGTGGGCAAGGAACAGACCAAGGCTATCACTTTTGCTCGTCTTTAGCTATTGAGCTGGTGAGAGCTGCCTCCACATGAATTATCCAGTCCTCGATGCTGTGGTTGAAGACTGGAAGAAAGATCCGTTTCTCATCCATCCTTGTGTGAGTGTGTCACTCCATGGGTCACCAGTTGTAGCGTAGTGTATGTGGCCAGTAGTCTAATTTATCTTTGTTTTTGTCTATTTTCTCTTTGTTAGGCTCACATATGTACGTACATGTAGGAGACCTCGCACTAAGGATGGAGGTGAGAAAGGAAACTCACAATGGCGTTTTCTTTATATATATTATATGTACAGAGCAGTCAGGTGCTGGGAGGTTGCTGCATAGTAGAGGAGTTGCAGTGGAGGAGCTTCTTTAGAGGAGGTCTTCTTTGCTTAGAAGCGTGGTGTTGTCTGCCCTCACTGCGTTATGTTGTGTTGTCGAGATTGACGGATCGTAGTCTGATACGGGCCTTTGCTAGGCGGCCCATTTGGTGGTTCCGGCTGGGTATCTTGGAGCAGCCAGACCGGATTTGGGATTGGGAATGGAAGGTCTCCTACCTGCAGATATGAAAGGATACTGCAGGTTTGCAAGTGTGAGCGGACCCTTGGTCCGCTCAATTACAAACCCGGAGAAGGTGGTGAATGTGGTTTGTTTGGACCTTTTGGGTTAAAGTGGCCGCTGGTGCTGTGTGTTCTTTTTAGAAGTTTCAAATTCTGTTTCGGGAACTTTGTGTGACTTCGCAGTTGAGGAGATAGTGTTCCAGTGGGTTGGCCGCTGGCTCCTGACAGTAGGTGCATTCCCTGACGACATTTCAGATCGTCTGCCAGGTGCACCGTACCCTAGTCGTAGTCGATGAAGGCTAACTTGGGTTTGTCTTGGTGTTTCCTTGTCCACGAATGGTGGTTCCCTTTTGTAGCCACCGGTACCATTTGGCTAATTGGGAACCAGCGTTGAATGCGTCAGAAGCTCTTTGGATGTGGAGCTTGGTAGTCTTTCTGAGGTGGTTCTTGATCTGTTGCACGCTGCTGGAACTTGGAATGTAACGCTTCTATTACTGATCTTTGAAGTCCTGTAGCTGTGTAGAAGGCCGCTCCGGATCTTTGATGTTTTGGGTCCACCGAGACGTCTGTGAAGTATGATGCCTCATCATAAGAACATAAAAAAATAAGGAGTCTGTATTAGGCCGGTTGGCCTGTGCATAGCAGCTCCTGTCGAGAGTTACTACCCTCTCTATCATCCATGAATCTATCCAGTCTCCCTTTGAAACTTTCCAGCGTTCCAGCACTTACTACAGCCGGTGTCTCGGTGGCTATGGCTTCCAGAGTTATTCTTTTGAGGTCCTCCTTCTGGAGGTTGGCTTTGCTATCACCTAGTTCGGTGATTTTGAATGTAGCTGGTGGAGGGCTCCATGGTGGAGGAACTACGTAACCATTGTCTCGTGTGTCTTGGATGTTCTTGATGAGTGTTTCTGCTTGCAGGTGCCTGATGACCTCGCTTGCCTCGTGCGAACAGGTGGCCCCTCGCACTCTGTGGTCGAGGTGGAGGAGAGCACTGATTCGCGTTTTGGCAGCTGTGGGCTTATCTGATCTACAGATTTTTGCGAGGAATCCGGCTGTTACCTGTTTGACTCGTACTGTTTTGTTTAGGTTAGGTTAGGTTAGGTTAGATTAGTGTTGATAAATGGCAACCCCGTTGGGGTTTTGTCATGGAACCGTTGGTCCAGACTACCGGCGTGTTTGGTATGGAGAGCATCATGTCTGGTGTGTTTGTGCAGGTGGCCATCGCTTTCGGCGAGGCAGGGGGGTATTTATATGATTCTGCAGGATCAAGAGTCGAAGTGCCAAGATGAGAAACGCTGCTGATTGACTGAGGTAGAGGCAGCAACTGACCAATCACCACACACTCAGGACACGCAGTTCGAACGCGAGGGCTGATTTGTGGAACTCGCCGCTGATTGGCTGGGAAGCAGACGGCAAGTGACCAATCAGCAGTTGTAGGGGAGAGTATCCACTACAGTGGCATCACGAAAATTGTGATCAAGTCCAGTAGGTAGTAGGCTGCTACCAAACAGGGAATACTACCACCTGAGAAGATATTGGAAGCATAATGTATTGTCTAATGGTGGACCCTGCTGCCAGAGGCATCATGAAGTGTGACCAAGTCCCAGGTTGCTGATTTGACTTTCTGCCTCATTTACACACAATTGCAGAGTCTCATTTGTTTCTCTTACTTTTGACAACACAACATACAGATATTGTTTTTCACTTTTAATTTTTTTTTATTTCTTTATGGCTCTTTATTATTATTATTATCATCATCATCATCATCATCATCATCATCATCATCATCATCATCATCATCATCATCATCATCACTCATCATCATCATCATCATCATCATCATCATCATCATCATCATCATCATCATCATCATCATCATCATCATCATCATCATCATCATCATCATCATCATCATCATCATCATCATCATCATCATCATCATCATCATCATCATCATCATCATCATCATCATCATCATCATCATCATCATCATTCATCACTATCATCATCATCATCATCATCACATCATCATCACATCATCATCTTTCTATCTCATCATCATCATCATCATATTATTATTATTATTATTATTATTATTATTATTATTATTATTATTATTATTATTATTATTATTATTATTATTATTATTATTATTATTATTATTATTATTTATTATTATTATTATTATTATTATTATTATTATTATTATTATTATTATTATTATTATTATTATTATTAGTACATTTTCGCCCACCAGGCTGATGTGGGTCAGTGACCTGTGCCTGGGTGAGCTAATCCCCGTAAAAAAAAAAAGCCTCGGCGTTGTACTGTATTCTCTCCATTCTCCTGTTCAGTATTGGTAACCTTGCATTTAATATATCTACCAACACAATTACGTATCTTATATTCCTACACTGCACATACACATATATCATAAAAATGTTACGTGACTGACATTTTTTATTGCCATATTTTAAATCAGCACCCCAAAATTAATAAAGTTCAGCGTATTTGATCCATGTTACCGAACCCTGTCAACTAGTGTTATTAAAAAGATAAACTAGTCCACAACTAGTTATGATATCACCGTAATTAACGCTATGACCTATGATGTAAAGTGTTGAAACATGCTGATGAAAATAAATTATTATATCATATTACTAAATGATAAACTAACAACAAATATAATACCATCGGTGATAATCCGGAGATTTCCCCATTCTGACCGGAGATAAAGATCAACTTCCGGAGACTGGCCCAAAACCGGAGATCTGGCAGCCCTAATTTACCCTGACCGCGAGATAAACCAATTATTGTTATGTTAATACGTTATTAAAAAATAAGGAACATGGAACCACACCCTCCAACACCTTCACGGGCACGGCCACTTTGGCTTGTCATTTGTTGAAATTTACCCCAAAAAATCTGATATAACACTAATAGAACAAGAAAGTAAATAATAAATTAAATACAATTATAGTGACATGAAAATCGTGGCAATATGCAATATATCTACGACTAAATTAAAGTCAAGCCAAGAGTATCGGTAACGGGAGTGACGTCACAGGTGTCTGTCCTCACTGGCGTCGGGTGAACATTTGTTCTCGCCAAAAGATCAGAAAGGTTTTACGTTTTTCTGACTGACTCAATCTATCAATAAAGGTAAGTTTATTCATGATGTAAGTACTTTGAACGCTGATATTGTTTCCGAAGGATAAATGGATGGATAGGACGTAGATTGTGAGAAAATTGTAGAAAAATAGAGTGATTGAAGGGATCTTATTTTGGCTCAAAATGGCGACGGGACAGACGAAGCTTTGCCCGTGATTTTCTAAAGCGGTGTCTATATCAAGGCGGAAATATACTTTTGAGGTATAATGATGGTGTTCTTTGTAATGTATTTCATAATTAAGGCCAGACTTATGCAAGAACCTACATATATTTTGCCTGAAGAAGAGAAAACTAGTGCCGGAGAGCGAACAAAATATTCTCGTGAAATGGAGACTTTGTGCTTCGTCCCGGTCGCGAATATTGAACTTCTGCACAGGGAAATTATTTTCGCTTTTCACCATTCCTCAATAATCCTCATTTCTAGAATACAAACCATTACTCCCAATCACTCGGCGTAGTCCCAGACCCGTAATATGGAGGATACATGATTCAGACGTATTTAACATGTAATTAAGATAGTTGAACCAATGTCGTGAAATTCGCTAATGTGACTCCCGGTACAAATTCGTGGAGTGTTATTAAGGCAGGTGAGAGGAGGAGAGAACCATGTGTGTGGACCTGTTGAGGAGTGTGGCAGTGCCTCACTCTCCCTCCCTCATTAAGGCAGGTGAGGGAGAGAGGCATACATGTTTAGTAAAGTATGTGAATTGGAACATTTTAACTCTGAGGAGTGTGGCCACACTCTCCCTCTCTCATTAACCCTTCGTAGGTAGAGCAGCATCGCACTTAGGTATTTTATTTTTGCTAGCGCCTGACAATTTTATTTAGATGAGACAACCCTATCCTATAAAGGGTTATGGCAGGTGAGGTTAGGGAAAGAAGCATATAGAGTGTATGTTTACCTGTTGAGGAGTGACTACCTCTGTCACACCACTCACTTATGGATCAGGTCCTCGGCATTACTGTATAATAGAAGTTTGCCTGTAACCGACGCTAACAGGTTATAGAGTAAAGCAAAAGTCCAGCACAGTATAAGGACATATTGGGAATGGGCTGTTAAAACAGTTTTTCCATAAATCCCAACGTTTTTTAATCACCTGAAAAATTTCCACTCCAGCTTATTTCACCTAAGGACTCGCCACCCTAATCTATTAGGGCGGGGTTGAGGTTAGGTTAACGTTAGAGTGCTTAATTTTTCGATAAATATTCGTTTAATGGCTGTAGTTCCTTTTTTTAATGATAATTCAACTTCCAAATCAATGTTGAAACCTTACTTAACCAAACCAAACCTAACCTAACCTAACCAAACCTAACCCCTATCAGCCATGTATTATTAATTAAATTATACTAAACAACAAAACCTAACCTAACCTAACCTGACCTGACCTGACCTGACCTGACCTAACCTAGCATAACCTAACCTAAAATATTGCACTGTGAGATTAGTTTCCCTTTGAAACAGCTGTTTTTTGTTGGTTCTGTACCCCACACACCCTCTGTTGTGTTGGTTCTATACCATACACCCTCTGTTGTGTTGGTTCTGTACCATACACCCTCTGTTGTGTTGGTTCTGTACCACACACCCTCTGTTGTGTTGGTTCTGTACCATACACCCTCTGTTGTGTTGGTTCTATACCATACACCCTCTGTTGTGTTGGTTCTGTACCATACACCTTCTGTAGTGTTGGTTCTGTACCATACACCCTCTGTTGTGTTGGTTCTATACCACACACCCTCTGTTGTGTTGGTTCTGTACCATACACCCTCTGTTGTGTTGGTTCTGTACCCACACACCTCTTGTTGTGTTGGTTCTTAAAATTATACACCTCTGTTGTGTTGGTTTCCACCATACACCTCTGTTGTGTTGGTTCTATACATACACCTCTGTTGTGTTGGTTCTGTACTTATACACCTCTGTAGTGTTGGTTTGCAACACACCCTGTTGTGTTGGAGTTCTATACCACACACCTCTGTTGTGTTGGTTCTGTACCATACACCTCTGTTGTGTTGGTACCACACCCTCTGTTGTGTTGGTTCTGCACTTTCACACACCCCTCTTGTTGTGTTGGTTCTGTACCCCACACACTCTCTGTTGTGTTGAGCTCTGTACCACACACTTTCCACAGTTGGTTCTGTACCACACCCTCTGTTGTGCTGGTTCTGTACCACACCCCTCTGTTGTGTTGGTTCACCATACACCTCTTGCTGTGTTGGTTCTGGTACCATACACCTCTGCTGTGTTGGAGTTCTGTACCATACACCTCTGTTGTGTTGGTTCCTGGTACCTACACACCCTCTGTTGTGTTGGTTCTTGCACTCATACACCTCTGCTGTGCTGGTTCTGGTACTACACACCCCTCTGTTGTGGTTGCTGGTTTGTACTCATACACCCTCTGTTGTGTTGCTGGTTCTGTACCATACACCCTCTGTTGTGTTGGTTCTGTACCACACACCCTCTGTTGTGTTGGTTCTGTACCATACACCCTCTGTTGTGTTGGTTCTGTACCATACACCCTCTGTTGTGTTGGTTCTGTTCCATACACCCTCTGTTGTGTTGGTTCTGTACCATACACCCTCTGTTGTGTTGGTTCTGTACCATACACCCTCTGTTGTGTTGGTTCTGTACCATACACCCTCTGTTGTGTTGGTTCTGTACCATACACCCTCTGTTGTGTTGGTTCTGTTCCATACACCCTCTGTTGTGTTGGTTCTGTTCCATACACCCTCTGTTGTGTTGGTTCTGCACCATACACCCTCTGCTGTGTTGGTTCTGTACCATACACCTCTGTTGTGTTGGTTCTACCATACACCCTCTGTTGCTGGTTCTGGGTACCATACACCCCTGTTGTGCTGGTTCTGCACCATACACCCTCTTGTTGTGTTGCTGGTTCTGCACCCCCACACACCCCTCTGTTGTGTTGGTTCTGTACCATACACCTCTCTGTTGTGTTGGTTCTGTACCATACACCCTCTGTTGTGTTGGTTCCCCTGTACCCCACACACACCCTCTCTGCTGTGTTGGTTCTGTACCACACCCTCTGTTGTGCTGGTTCTGTACCATACACCCTCTGTTGTGTTGGTTCTGTACCATACACCCTCTGTTGTGTTGGTTCTGTACCATACACCCTCTGTTGTGTTGGTTCTATACCATACACCCTCTGTTGTGTTGGTTCTATACCATACACCCTCTGTTGTGTTGGTTCTGTACCATACACCCTCTGTTGTGTTGGTTCTGTACCATACACCCTCTGTTGTGTTGGTTCTGTACCACACACCCTCTGTTGTGTTGGTTCTGTACCATACACCCTCTGTTGTGTTGGTTCTGCCATACACCCTCTGTTGTGTTAGTTCTGTACCATACACCCCTCTGTTGTGTTGGTTCTGTACCCCACACACCCTCTGTGTGTTAGTTCTGTACCACACACCCTCTGTTATGTTGGTTCTGCTTACCTACACCCTCTGTTGTGTTGGTTCTGTACCATACACCTTGTTGGTTGGTGTTCTGTACCCCACCCTCTGTTGTGTTGGTTCTGTACCATACACCTCTCTTTGTGTTGGTTCTGTACCATACACCCTCTGTTGTGTTGGTTCTCACCATACACCCTCTGTTGTGTTGGTTCTGTACCGCCACCCTCTGTTGTGTTGGTTCTGTACCCCCACACACCCTCTGTTGTGTTGGTTCTGTACCATACACCCTCTGTTGTGTTAGTTCTGTACCATACACCCTCTGTTGTGTTGGTTCTGTACCCCACCCTCTGTTGTGTTGGTTCTGTACCACCCTCTGTTGTGTTGGTTCTGTACCATACACCCTCTGTTGTGTTGGTTCTGTACCACACACCCTCTGTTGTGTTGGTTCTGTACCATACACCCTCTGTTGTGTTGGTTCTGTACCATGAGAAATGTAAAGACTTATAATATGAAAAACAAAACAAAAACAAAGATACCATTTTACTGTTGTTAGTTCTTAGGACTTTGTGGCTCCAGTCAACCTAACTTACGAAAGAAGTAATAAATTGATGGAATTGTACTTAGCTCCCAACAGACGATGGAGGCAAGTTGAAGGTACGGGTAACAATCCAGTGCCCAAGGTACCTAACCTGTTATAGCTTAAGGTACAGATGAGGTGTGATGTCACATCTCATTACTCCCCAGCTCTTAATGGTGATTGTTGCTTCACTCCTCTTTTAAGGATATTGGTTGTAGTGGAGAGGAATGAATGATATGAGACTATTTCCCAATCACTAATATCAGGGGTACCATGGTCCTGACCTGGAAAACTTATTTTATTACTGAAGTCACCTAATGAGTGGCATTGGGTCATAAATGGAGATGTACAGTACAGAGGGATTGTTGAACTACCATTATCACAACCCCATGTGCCTGAAGCACGAACACTAGATGCAAAGGGTAGGAAAAATTTGGTAAGGTTAGAAATGGCATGTTTGAGAGCAGTATGTAAAGGGGATGCAGAGAACAAGAAATACATTAATATAATGTGAAAGTGAAAGGCATGTTGGACAGATAGCAGATTTGGGCCTTTTCATGTGATATAGGCATAGAGAATAGAAAGTGAAAAGATTGATAAAAACAATTCAGAGATAGATGGTAGAAATGAGAGGTCAAGAACAAGGAGATCTGATGATGGAAGGATGGGATGAAGGATGTGTGTGTGGGTGGGTGACCGGATAAAACCCCAACGGACAAAACCCCAGTCTCATATATAAAATATAAAATAAAACACATTTATGTTTAGGTTAGGTTAGGCTAGGTTAGTGTTGACAAATGACAACTCCGTTTGGGTTTTGTCATGGAACCGTGTGGGTGATGGAGAGTATGTTGGTTGGTTATTATCTGGGAAGAACCTGCTACTGCTGCTGTTGGGTGATGCTTCCTTGTGTGAATGACAGCAGTAAACCAAATTTAGGCCTTGTTGTAGTAGAAGATCAATGCCTTAACAAAACAGCAGCATGTGGAAGTGAAGGACAACACAAAGGGAAAATACTTACAGTACAGTATATGTACTATATTTACTGTACAGTACTCTTGGTTTTGGCCACCATGCATTAAGTGAAAAAACTCACTATATGTACTGTATTATCTTGCATGTATTTTTAATTTAAGTACAGAAATAGTAAGTAGAGTTAATAGTCCTGAGTAATAGTATATGTCCAAACAGATGTAATATTTTTATGTATTTTTACTTGCTATCCAGGAGTGTGAACATGGATGGTGAAGGTGATGGTGGAGAGGAAGGTCTTAATGCTGCCGCCGGGGCCTGGACCACTGCCACGTACCAGACCCAAGAGCTGAGTAACGTTGTGCACATCATTGTCCCTGACCTTACCTGCATACCTCAAAGTAAATGCATATTGTTATGTCTGAGCTTATTTTGGTAAAAGTTACAGATAAGCTCTTTGGTTTACGTACGAGCCTGAACAGGGTTTATTAAAAAATGGTGTTAATATATTTATAACATTTTAGGTGTTCTTTATACTCTTGTTTTTGAATACATTATACTTCAGTACTCAAAATTTTTTCAAATGAAATTAAGTAAAAAGGGAAATTTAAATATAAATCAAAGCATATGAGATTGTGTGGCCGTGTCATTTCTAATAAGTTTTTCAGTTTAAAATGAATACTGAACTGTACTTTACTATCTATACCTGTTCACCCAAATTCTGGAAGAATACAATCATGTATAGCTAATTAATGTGTTGTTTGCAGGAAGTAAGCCTATTCCAGTAATGTACCATTAATGTTTAGATCTCAGTTGATAGTTGTATAGTATCCAATTTAATTTTTGTGCCATCTCTTTAACATTTTTGTAACATAAAGCGTAACTCAGTACAGGTACTCTATATTTTACCTGTACTGTACTACTGTACATATATCTTGTATCATGAGTCAACTGGCATATGAGTTATATAGCTACAGTATTATATCAGAAAGAGGCACAATAGTGCCACTTTTATAATTTTATTAATTACAGTGCAGTATACAGTCAACCCTCGCTTTACGCGGTCCCACATTCCGCGTTTCCACGGCTACGCGGTACCCTGCCGAAACCGGAATGCTCACATTCCGCGGTGCATGTACCCCTTTACACGGAGAGCGGCTGGCGAGCCGCGCCATTTTTGGATCCAAACCTCCCGCCCTCTCCCGCCATCCGCCATGTTGTGTAAGCGGCACGAGCAGGGTGCGCACAAGGTCACCCAGTCATCAAAACATTACCAAGTTCTTCACCCGCCACCCACCACAGCCGGCCCAAGTCAGTGATAGTGATAATTATAGTGAGGATATGGACTTATATGGACTTTGAGGGGTTTGACAAAGAGGCCCTGCAAGCCTCTGTGGTGGATAGTGATACAAGTGATACAGGTGAGGGCCAATAATCTGCCCTCTGCCTTGGAACCAACCGCCCATCCCCGTGTGCCCAGCCATCTTTTCTACTAATGTAAGTGTTAAAAAACCTAATATTATTGATATTTCTCTTAATTATTAATTGTGTGTGCATACCATCATAAAGTTAAGAAGTTATTTTTACTACAACGTAGGTATTGTGTCTGAAAAAGTGGAGTTTGGGGGTCGGCCCGGTTTCTATTTCAATTAATCCCATATGTTATGTTGTTCACTTTACGCGTTTCTCACTTTCCACGGTACCCTGTGGGTTGAATTAACCGCGTAAAGTGAGGGTTCACTGTATAAAACAATGAATAAGTTCTACAGCATATGTTTTCCATAGTAGCTATAATGTTCCATTGTTTATGCTAAATATGGAAAATAGTTAAACATTCTAACAGTACAGTGCACTACTGTACTGTACACTAATTAATTCCCCACATGTTGGAAGCTGTAGACAATATGTCTAGAATGCCTAAATTGTGACCATGCTCTGTCTTATGTACCAGTAACTGTTCTCTGTGTGTTCTCTTACTACAGTAAGATATAACTACTTAACTACAAATATACAGATATTTCTTTCTCTGGAAAAAAAAGAACAGGCAAAAAGATATTGATGTTGAAACAGTTTATTTAGCTAGAAAAATGCAGATACAAAGAGGACAGTAATATCAATATTGACATAGCTGAGCCAATTGAGATGGTGCACATTGTTTCACAAGTTTGTGTCATGAAGGTTTCAGGTTTCTCTACTCATTGTAGTACTGTAAAAAAAGAAACAAAGATTATTGTAATAAATATACTGTAAATGTATAAGAATTAGAATACAGGGGGCCCACCAAATTCGCGGGGGTTAGGTTCTCAAAATGGCCGTGAATTGCCAAATCCGTGAATAACATTTCTGGACTGGGCGGGGGTACATTTTTACTTGTGTACAAAGAAATGTATAGTCCCTTTATGTGTTTGTCTTGAGGACAATTATTTATTTTACCTGAAGTATTGTAGATGTGTGTGTATGTGTACCGGGTAGACACACACACACACACACACACACACACACACACACACACATAAACAAACACACACACAAAACACATACAAATAAATAAAATGTGGAAAATCCTCTCACAAATAATCAGAAACAAATTTATTAAAAATGTGACAGTCTACCCTCAAGTCTGTGCTCTATTAATGAAGTACTGTAATAGAGAACGGACTTGAGGGTAGACTCACATTTTTAATACCTTTTTTTCTGATTATTTGTGAGAGTATTTTCCCATTATTATTTATTTGTATGTGTTTTGTGTGTGTGTTTGTGTCTACACACACACTCATATACAATACAGGTAAAGGAAATTACTGTCTCTAGAACGAATGGCTCCCTGTCCCAGCCGCGAAAATGCCCGCAACTTTAAAACTACCCACAGTCATTCTTGGGTACATCCAGGGTGTCATCCGCAAATGACCGAGAACGGCAAAGTAAAAATCCGCGAACTTGGGGGCCCCCTGTATTTACCTGTAATTCAGTGTGATAATAGTGTTAAAATATTAACAAGAGTTCATGCTTTTTGATCTCTAACTGGACTGACACAATTTTATTCCATAAATGTTACATCAGATAAGGCAGCAAGTACAGTAGCCAAGTACAGTCAGCAAGAATACAGGTGAAAGGTACACTTGTGGGGCCCATAGAATGTACACACACTATTTATTTTATATTTACCATATTTATTTAGCTGGAGTATGGTGGGGAAAGTTAATGCATACAATTCAAAAGCATTCTCAAAGAGACTATAGGGTTCTGTACAGTTACTTTATTATTTTTTTGTATAACTTTAAATGATTTTTTCAGGTCAACCAAATGATGCCCTTGCAACAGCCTTGAGTGAGGTAGCCAATGGTGGTGGTCTGGTGGGACATGATGAAACTGGTGCCTCTCAGGTGAAGGACCCACTGTCAGCCCTGGCAGCTGCGGCAGAACTCGACCAAGTTCGAAATGACGTTGCTGTTGTGAGTTTTTTCTTTCTGACAAATATTTTTTTATAAAGTTTGTAGTGAAGAAATTGCCAATGGTACTGTCTCATATTTGTTTGATGTCTTCCTGAAGCTACTGTATTACTGTTTATTCATGGAAAATACCACAATCTTTCCTGTAACATAGCTCTATTCATGCCCGTATCATATAGACCTTTAGTTTTTTAAATTTATTTATTAAACCAAACTTTAGATAAAGTACAGTACAGTGAGTTCTGCTATAACGCGTGTTTTGATAACGCGAATTTGCTCTAACGCGATTTATGAATTAGGAACGATATTTGTATAACGCGAACGCTTGTTTGCTATAACGCGATTTTTGCTTACTATTTCTCCAATTTTGTGGTATTAACTGTGAATATAGTAAAGAAGAATATCAACAAGAAGCGTTCTGGTGATAGAATTCCCGGTGATGATCGTCAAAGAAAGGATATAACACTTGAAGAGAAGCTCGATTTTATCAACCTCAAAATCACCCTTCTCCCCCATCAAGTAAAGTGTTACATTTACTGTATGATTTCATTATTAGATATGAATGTAACATTTATTTAGACTGTGCTATCCTTTGTGTTAGGCTAACTACTAAATTTTTTCGATTTCGAGTAATCTGCACCTAACCCTATTTTCTCCATAAGCCCTGTTATTTCTATTTCGCGATTTTCTATAACACGATATTTTACAAGAACACAATTATTGCGTTATAGCAGAACTACCTGTATTCGGGATTATTTTGATAAAAAAATGGTGTGTCTTAACGTAATTAGAACTGATTTTATTGACGCCCGTATCAACATTTCTAACGTTTTTTTATTTTTATAAAACAACGGAAATCCCATCATTTTATCATATAGCAATAATTCGTTTAAGGATATCTTATTGGAAACAACTCTTAAAGAATTTATTAAGGATCATTATGGTATCATATTCATCTCCCTATCACAATTAGCCAGCTTGAGTGAGGAAGGGGGGGGGGGGAAACTGATTGCATGACCCTCCCCCCTCACCTCTGAAAAAGGTTTGACTCCCCCACTTTCACCTGACATCACCCACACTTTCACCTGACATCTCACACACACACGCACACGCACACACACACACACAGAAAAACGGGAATTAATACAGCAAGCAAGAGGAGAGTGAGGGTCTTATTGTATGACAAATTTGTGTGTGTGTGTGACCACCTGGTAGCAAGTTAAATATTAGCTGTTGAGCGCTTGGCAACACTCCTTTCCACTCCATCTCTCTAATCACCCACACCTTTCTCACTCCATATTTTATAATGTTATGTAAGGTAATGTTGAAGGGATACAACTTTGCTCATTTATACTTATACTTATCACAATATCCCCCAAAATACTTTAGTTTTCGTGTTTATTCAAGACATCTTCAGGTCATGAGACCCACTAATCCCCCACCAAAGAAAGGGTGACCCAACATTCTATCAGAAGGTCAGTAATATGAGACCACTAATCCCCCATCCTACCTCCACCTGACATTGCATCAGGTCTGGTAAGTTACACAAGACCCACTAATCCCCCACAGCTTTATGTGAGTGGAAAATACCAGTCTTTGCTGTAACACGCAGTTTCATTCATGCCCATATCATGTAGATTTTGAATTTATAAATATATTTATTTAACCACACATATAGATAAATTATTCTGGATTATTATAGAAAAGAAATGGAGTTTCTAACTTAATTAGAACTGCATTTATGGACTTCGGTAGTTTAGACGCAAGGAAAACATCCCCAGCACCAAGAATCATTCCAGGGTTAGTGGGCTAGTGTCCGACTGTGCAAGATGTCTAGTTTAGACGCTCAGAAACTTTTCCCAGTAATTGGAAAAGATTCTAGGGAAAGGAATTTATCTGGGTTTGAGAAAGTCGTTTGGTTAGCCGGAAATCTCTCATCCCAGGAAGTGCTCCGGCTAACAGGGATATCACTGTAAATACAACCCGTAGTTTGCACTAGAGATAAAAGGAATTTCCAACCAATGGATATCAAACACCCAAGCCACTTGACCTCATCATAACAAACGAGGAGGGTATGGTGGCCAAACTGGAACACCTTGCCCCAGTTGGCACTGTAAGGAGTTGCTACCATGGCATCAGAGAATCTATCTAGAAAAGCTTTCCAGCATTCCAGCACTTACTACAAACTTGCTAAGCTTGTTCCACTTGTCCGCCACCCTATTTGTGAACCAGTTCCTTCCTATCTCCCTCCTAAGCCTAAACTTATCCAACTTAAATTCGTTGCTACGAGTCCTATCCTGCTCAGATATTATAAGAACTTTATCTATATCCCCTTTATTGATTCCTTTCACCCACTTAAATACTTTTATCATATCTCCCCGCACTCTTCGTCTTGCTAGGGAATGCAAGTTTAGTATCTTTAACCTATCTTGATATGGAAGGTTTCTAAGTCCCAGAATCATTTTCGTCATTCTTCGCTGCACCGACTCCAGTGAATTGATATCCATTCTATAATAAGGGCACCAGAACTGAACTGCATAATCGAGGTGCGGCCTGACTAACTCGAGATATAGTTGCAATAAGACCTCTGCACTCTTATTACTTACACTTCTAGATATAGAACCTAATACTCTGTTTGCCTCATTTCGAACATTAGTGCACTGTTTTCTAGGCCGTAGGTCCGGGCTTACAAGTACCCCTAAGTCTCTTTCACAAGTCGACCTCTCTAGGTTGATGTTGTTAAGGCTGTATACATTGACAATATTTGTTCTTCAAATATTAAGTACGCTGCATTTGCTGGTGTTGAATTTCATTTGCCATTTCTCTGACCACTCCTGCAGTTTATTTAAATCCTCCTGTAGTGCATTTGCATCCTGCCCTGAATTAATCTGCCGCCCTATTTTGGTGTCATCCGCAAACTTGCTTATGTCACTGCTGATCCCAGTATCTAGATCGTTTATGTAGATTATGAACAAGAGTGGGCTCAGTACTGACCCCTTGGGAACCCCACTGGTTACACAGCCCCACTCAGATTTAACACCATTTATCTGACCCTCTGTGTTCTATCGGTGAGCCACGATTTTATCCAATTTAAAACTTTCCCCACGATACCATGAGCCTTAACTTTTCTCAGAAGCCTCTGATGTGGTACTCTGTCAAACGCTTTGCTAAAGTCTAAGTAAATAACATCGTAATTTTCGTCATTATCTACTACCTCGAAGACTTTCCTACTGTTGTCATTCAGATTTAACTGTTACCTAGTTACAAGATAAGGCCAGGCCAAGGTGCAAATATTACAAGGGAAATTACCACGGGATGAAGGAAAAGATGAGGGGTATCCACTGGCCTGACTCTTTAAGGCACAAGAATGCAGACACTACGCTGAATATCATAACTAGTAAAGTGACCCATTTGATCAATAAATCTATACCCAAGACCAAACCCAGTGCCTCTAGGAATACGAGAGGATCCCTACACATGAACCATGCGGCGGTCGACAAAGTTAAGAAAAAACCCAGAATTTCAAGACGTGGGTTAGGTCAAACGATGAGCAGGACAGGAGAATGTATGCAAGAGCCAGAAACCAAGCAAAGGTAGAGCGTAGAAGGGCTGAAAAGGAGTTCTAGAGGCTGGTTGCAAGCGAGGTCAAGTCAAACCCAAAGGCATTCTACCACTATGCAAAGTCAAAATTAAAAACGCGAGTACGAGTATCAGACCTGAAGCTTGAAGATGGTAGTTACGCAGATTCTGATCAGGATAAAGCTGAGGCATTGAACAGCTTCTTTTCCTCGGTGTTCACAAGAGAGGATGCGATTAACCTTCCTGTGTTTGAGGACAGACGGTACGACACAGCACTGACCAACATTGTGTTCACAGAAAAGGGTATTAGAAATAAACTGTCCAGGCTAAAGGTCCATAAGAGTCCTGGCCCTGACATGGTGCATCCCAGAATGCTAAGAGAGTTGTGCAACGAGCTTGCCGAGCCCCTGAAGATCCTGTTTTGTAAAGGGCCGGGATGAACAAAAGGTCCCCAGTGATTGGAAAGTGGCTTATGTGAGCCCTATCTTCGAGAAGGGCAATCATTACTCCATGAATAACTATAGACCTGTGAGCCTGACCAGCATATTATGTAAACTACTTGAGAGTATTATCAGAGATGCCACGATGGAACATCTACTACGAAACGACCTTGTAAAGGATTGCCAACACGGTTTTATGCCGGGGCGCTCCTGCTTAACACAACTGCTCAAGGTATTGGATATTTGGACCCATATTCTGGAAAGGGGTGGTAATATTGACAATATATACCTAGATTTTGCCAAGACTTTCGACAGTGTACCCCATGAAAGGCTGAAAATCAAGCTGGAAGGGTACGGAATTCAGGGAAATGTCCTAGCGTGGATAGAAGACTTTCTACATGACCGCAAGCAGTGTGTAGTGATTAATGGCACGAAATCATCATCTATACCTGTTACAAGTGGGGTACCACAGGGCAGTGTATTGGGCCCGCTGTTGATTGTTTGTTTCATAAATGACATGCCTGACGTTGTATACCCCTCCGTACAAATGTTTGCCGATGACGCCAAGTTATTTCAGGAAATCAAGAACCATGCGGACTGTGAAGAGCTGCAGAAGGATCTCTGTGAGCTCCAAGAATGGTCGAAGAAATGGCTGCTGAAATTCAATGTCACGAAGTGTAAGAGGATGCACCTGGGGCTTACCAACGGTAAGGAGGCATATCATCTGTCCCAATGGGATGAAGAAACTGCACTATTTGAGACTGAATGTGAGAAGGACCTAGGTGTGTATGTTGACAATGAGCTGAAGTTCTCGGGCCATTGCGAGAAGAAGGTAAATCAGGCACATAAATTATTGGGTCTTATAAGAAGGTCATTCAGATATCTAGACGATCCGTCTCTCGTAACGATCTTCAAGAGTGAAGTGTTTCCCCATCTGGAGTATTGTCACCCCGTCTGGTCCCCGAGATATGCTAGGGACTGTCA